AGAGAGAGAGAGAGAGAGAGAGAGAGAGAGAGAGAGAGAGAGAGAGAGAGAGACACAGGATTATCTCAGGACAGAGAAAAAATTGAATTAAATTGAAATTGACTTTTGTCTACAACAATATAGATAATACCTCCCTTTTAAGACCTACGACAATACTGTGGAAAAAATGCAAGAAAAAACGAAAAATACAATACGAAATTCATATCAGACTCTATAATGTGAAAACTTTGCTGTGCAAGGTTCATCTGCTTATTAGAATTGATAATGTGGGTGCTTTATTGTAAAAGAATATTTCGTTTTAATTTTCATCAATGAAGATTTTTCACGCATGAACAAATTCAATAGAAAACCTGGCGAATTTAGAAAATCCTATTGGAATTCTATAAGAAAAATTCGATAAGAAAACGTCAATAGATCTCGAATTTTTGTTAGAATTTTTCGCTTGAGATTTTTTCCATTACAAATTAATGGGCACAAATTCTCCAAGTTTTTTCCCCTGGATTTTGTTTTATTTTGCATTACAGAATCGGAGTGAAAAAAAATTAGAAAATTGATGCCTCAGGATTTCTCACCTCAATGGAACAGCTTTCTCTTGATAAGTTGTTTTCAGATACCTCATCATTCATGTAATTTCCTCTAATTTTACTCGAAAAATGCCACAAAAACGAGCTCTGTTGTCAAATTGAAGATTGAGACTTTTTTAGCGTGATCCACGATGAACCATTTAATAGACAATAGATTCCTTCATGTCGAATCAGCTAATGCCCGCAGAGGCCAAAAGAATTTTCTCGCGAATTCGCAAGGTTTTCTATTGAATTTTTTCATGTGATGTGAGACGAGAGAAAATGGCCGATGTGAGCTATTTGTAACGGCATCATCGCCGGCATTTTTCTTTTCATCAATTAGAACAATATCTACTTTTTTACTAAACATATACATAAAAGTCCTGTAGAAGACGAGCTGAATCTTCACTAGGCAGTTGAAAGCTCAAAATTAACGTAATTAGTACGACATTGAGAAATCAATTTTTTTTATAATTCAGTAGCGAAGTGGTAAAGCGGTACAAGTGAATGAATATCTCGGAATCTAAGGGAGATAGCAAAATTTTTGTCATAACCTTTTTTGTAGAGGCGATTGAGAGCTACAAAAAATATAATGACAAAAATTTCGCTATCTCCCTTAGATTCGGAAATATTTCTCAAAAACTCAACTGGGAGATGAGTCGACTTGAACCGTTTCACCACTTCGCTACTGAATTAATGGAAAATCATTTTCATTTACAGTTTTAAAGTGAAAATGCTTGGTACTGGCGCCTTGTATAAAATTCTACGCTTAGATAAAACCAAGCTTTGTGATTAAAATGCCAATTAGATTGTAAACTAAAAATTCATACTCAATAATCATGTACTCTGACATTTATTTTCACTCGCAAGTTAGAAAAAAAAAACTGAAAATATGTACGTTAACGTAGTTGGATAAGTGTGCGAGGGTTGAATCGTGTGTTGATATGAAAATTACAATCAAGTGTTATTAGTTTTCTAGGAAAATGAAAGACGAGAAAATATATCTAAAAAAATAAGAATGATTGAAACTGATCTACCGAGTGTGGAGAGAATTTATTTTCAATCAACAGTAGTTTATTTACTATCTCTCGAGTCTGACTGTCTTGATACATGGCCTACCATATCTTTTGTACGCCTCGTCGATGAATGCATTTTCCATCTGTCTAACAATCTCGTTGAAGAATAAATTTGACAATTGGGAGTGGAGAACTGATTTGAACTCGAATGACAGTGAAAAATCAATGACACTCGTGTTTCCATTGTTCTTCAGTCCCGGACTGAAGATCCACAGAGTATTCAAGTGATTGAATAATTTACCATCTGTACATACGGCCTTAACAAAATAGGGTTTGTGCATTGTGACTTTTGAGGTGTAACTCTCGTTGAGGGGTGGAAATCCAATGGATAGACTAGCATTCACAGCATCTTCTCCACGCCACAATATATCCGATTTTTTACAAAATGGCACGAATTTTTTGTAATTCTCAATATCGGCTACGACTGTATAAATTTGCTCCATTGAAAACCTAGAAACAATAACGTTATTTTTCTCTCGAGTCTTTCTTTTTTTGTTTTTTGAAAATCCTCTCATGGTGTCAGTGTCTTGATAAATATTACAATCTTACGATGGGTTAACTGAATTTTATTAAATTTAGAGAGGTCTTTTATGTGAACACAACACTGTTTTACCCGATCAATTTCCGACCCTCATATTCTCTCGTTCTGTTACGTCTCTCGTGTGGAGTTGTAAATAGTTGCCTCCACTGTCCGTCGAAACAGCCCCATTTTTGTAAAATATATTTTTCGCCCGAATAAATACTCCTGTAATACAACGTCATGAATGATTATTTAAAAACACTCCATAAGTCTAGTCTTGTCTTGTTCTCGCAATTGTCGAGAACTCGAGAGTAGTCGAGAGTTGGCTAAAGTATTTCTCATCGCAATCGTTCGCTCATGCGCAGATGGTTTTTTTGTTATGGGTCGAGTCGAGCCGGCACTGATACCACAATCTCCGAAGATCGGAATATGTGTAGATTATAAACAATCTAAAAATGACTGGCAAGTGAATTGTGGTAAAAGTTTCGATCTACTAAAAATTATCTATATATTATCGATATTATCTATATTATTTTTTCCTATTCCTATTTACTAAAGATGAAATAAACGTGAAATTGTTTTATATCGAAATATCCTATTTACTAAAGATGAAATAAAGTGAAGTTGTTTTATACCGAAATATCTCGAAACTGCCTGACCGCTAATCCTCAATTCTGATTGGTCAATTAGTCGCGTGAAGATTAAAAATTATTCACTGATGGTTCACTCTTCATTCTCTTAATTCTCTTCAAGTCATTATCAATATTTATAAAACATCTGAATATATGAAGCACAAGTCTATTATTATCTAATCCAATTAGAAATCTGCAGAAAATTATCTCTAAGATGAAAAATTCACTAAAAGTCTGTCAAAAAGATATTGCCCCACCCGCGTCTTAAGATAGCAAGCAGATAATTTTTCAAAAACGATATCTCTAGGACGGACATTAGTATATATTTTTCATCTTAGAGATAATTTTCTACAGATTTCGACTTGAACTTGGGAAATTTCAAGTTCGTCTTTTCCCTTCGAAAATGCGTCCTGGCGGGAAATTCTGCTCTTCATAGAAATGCCCCCGCTTGGCATTGTATATAACCATTACATAACCAAGTCATACGGCTGAGAGGCATTCAAAGGAATTGATAGTGATTGAGAGAAAAAAATTGAAAGTCGGATTTTTCCGTTGTTGCCCTCAAGATGGCAAATATCAGCCCGGCCTGGAGGTATTGTTTCAAACAAGTGAGTGCTGTTATAAATTCCAAAATTACCCCTCCATGCCCCCACTTGTCACTTAGCACTGTCACTGACAGTTGGCTCCGGTTAAATTGCACAAAAACTCGTAACAAAAATTCAGCAGCAAATTGGTAAAACGGTACAAGTCAATGTTGACTATCGCCCAGTTTTCACCGAATATCTCAGAACCTAAGAGAGATGGCAAAATTTTTCTCATAACCTTTTTCGTAGCCCTCAATTCGCTCTACAAAAAAGGTTATTACGAAAATTTCGCTATCTCCCTTAAATTCGGAAATATTTCTGGAAAACTCAACTGAGGACTGAACTGGCTATTATGAACTCTAGGTGCGATCTTTCCACTGCTCGTCTCCTCAAAATGCTGAAGCCAGACTGAAGACGTTCTCGATATACCGTTGGAATCCAGACAAGCCCGACGAGAAACCGTACATGCAGGACTACAGTGTCGATCTCAGCAGTTGTGGTCCCATGGTCCTCGATGCTCTGATTAAAATTAAGAATGAAATCGATCCCTCCCTCACATTCAGAAGGTCATGCAGAGAGGGAATTTGTGGTTCGTGCGCCATGAACATTGGTGGCACCAACACATTGGCGTGCATCAGCAAGATCGACAGCGATGTCAAGAGCACGAGTAAGATTTATCCCCTACCGCACATGTACATCGTGAAGGATCTCGTTCCTGATATGAACAACTTCTACAATCAGTACAAAAGTATTCAGCCCTGGCTGCAGCGTTCGGACGGCAAGAAAGTGGGGACACAACAGTATTTGCAGAGTGTTGACGATCGTAAAAAATTGGTTTGTCATTCATTGTTCTTTTTTTTTCAAATTTTTTATGGTCAGTTCAGTGCGAATGACTGTGTAATCCATTTTTGGCTCTAGGATGGTCTTTACGAGTGCATTCTTTGCGCCTGCTGCAGTACTTCGTGTCCGAGCTACTGGTGGAATGGAGATAAATACCTTGGACCAGCTGTTCTCATGCAGGTGAGTGGAAAATTATAATTTTCGTTTGTCCATTCATTCATTTTTCATTTTTCCATTTCAAATTTCAACAGTTTCGTGTTTTCACTGGGCTTTATTTTTTACTTCAGGCATACAGGTGGATCATCGACTCTCGAGACACTCAGACTAAAGAGCGATTGGATAAATTACGTGATCCATTCTCAGTGTATCGATGCCACACTATTATGAACTGCACTCGAACATGTCCCAAAGGCCTCAATCCTGGCAAAGCAATTGCAGAGATTAAGAAATTACTGGGTAATGTCATACAGAAAGACAAGCCGGGTCTCGATACAACAGCACTGCACAACTGAGTCTCAACTCGATCGAGTTATCTAGAAGATTTTCGACTTCTCAAACTTACCAGTGATATGAGCAATACAATAATTTGATATTGATGTAAAAAAGATTTAAAGAAGGCTAGTTGATTGGAAATTGACAGAGGATGAGGTGAATTTTTCGTAGTTTTTCATCTACTTTGTCTGCAAGTAAAACGACATAATTATCGAAATTATTTTTTTTATTTCACTCGCGGCACTCTTCAAGGTAGAATAATGTAATATTTATTGAGCAACTGATGAATAAACTCTGGAGTCTCGATTACACTGTATTCTCTCGAATAGTTGAGTTGATCCAATTGACGAAACTGTAAACCCTCGTAAATACGTCGGGACTCCCTCGTGCACAGGGAAGGCCGTAAGATACAAGGCCAATTTGGTAGCCTTTCGATACCAGAGGTCCACCAGAATCCCCCTAGAATTAATGTGAATACAAACAATGGATTAATCTCTCAATTCACTGAGAGAAAAAATCATTTTTGGCAAATATTCATCTAGTTGAGAGGAGCATTTATTTTGTTCAAAATCGTATTTCTCCAATCGAGTCATTCCCTAATTAGATTTCAATTATGAGAACCGTGTTACTCTAGAGGATGACTCTGTTGGGTTCCACGATTTTTCTTCCCCGACAGATTTTCCTAAAACAAACTCTCCTCTTTTTCCCATCGATACCTGAGCAAATAATCCCTACGAAGAGTAAAGTGAATGAAAAAAAATTAATACAAGTCATAATCATGTTTATAAAAATTAAATATTACAAGAACAGTCTACAGAATATTACATGCAATTCAATCAGTGAAAATGGACAAACAAACAATTTCAATTACGAATTTCATTAATTTCTTGCAATTCTTCATCGATGAAACAAGACATCAATAAACGACCGGGTGATCGTAATTCGGTCGAGGCTTACAAAAGAAGGATAATCCCCAGTTATCATCACAAAAAACAACTGTTTTGACCAAATGTACGTCAAAATATACAAATTGAATCAGAAAATTGGAAACGGAAAAAGTTGGGGAATATTTATCATAATTAAAACAATAAAACTTGAAAAAATCAATGGATGTTTGGAAAAAATAATTTTGTTTTTTAGTGTTCACTACATTTATTTACTTGTTAGATTACTTACATGACAGGCACCTTCGCCGCGTTTATTCAACGTGCAAATCTGAGAATTCGTTAGGAGCCAGTGTCTCAACTTACACTTCAACTGCGATATGACCTTAACTTCCAGTTGCTGGAGTTTATCGGGCACACGTCCATTGAGCTTGGAAGCAGGCGAGAGAATATTAAGAGTATTTCACTCGTATCAGGGTATCTTTTTTTTATTTACATACCACAGTAGTTCCCCAGCCAGTAAGAACGGCACGAGTGTTAATTCCATTGAAGTTTTCTGTCGGCAATTTAATTGCCTGAACATTTTCATTGAACTCTATATCTTTCGTGACACGAAGAACGCCTACGTCGTTATGAATGAGGATCATTGTGAATTTTGGATGCCATTTCAGAAATCCACATTGATAGTATTCGGTTCCCTTCGATAGCGAAGTGGTACCGACAAGAACTTTTATTGCCGAAGGCGATTGCCTGCGCAAAAACAACGATTCCGGATTTTTCAGGGCAATTAAAGTAGCTCTACCTTTCGGCCGGGCTACGCTGTACTTTTGGATATTTTCAGTTTTTAAATTTTTCAACTAAATTGCATGGAAAAAATTTGAAAAATTCATACCCAGTCAGTATTATCTAAATTTCGCAAAATATTGATATTTTTTCAAACATTTCCCTCTTATGAATAAATAATAAAACTTGTTTGCAAAACGGTGGATTATTTTTTATGAGGTGACAAAAAAATTCTTCACTTTTTCATATCTAATGAAAAAAAATTCTGATTTTAATCTTTGATTACAATGGAAATGTTGATTTTCACATAAGACACTGGGTCAAATCCTGATTTTCAAACATTTCTTCTTTGAAAAACCAAAACGATAATTAAATTGAGAAACAAATTAGAATCCCGAATCTAATCGAGTTTTCTGCAATTTCTTTGCAGTTTTCAATAATATTTGAATTTACCGTAAGGGTAGAGCTACTTTAATAAATTAATAAATGATGCTACGTTTACCCCTGGAGACAGTGAGCTGCGGTGAGAATCCATCGCTCGTTAATTATACTCCCACCGCAGAAGTGACGATTATTTTTCTGGAGAGACACTTGGTAAGGGTACTTGCCCGCAGGGGCGTCACTACCACCCACTATTCGCTCTATTGTCGCGCCTATAGAATAATCAAATTAGTTTGAAAATTATTTTGGGTTTTACGCACGGACGAAAAAGTTTAATAGAAAATCCCAGAAAATATTCAATGGAATTCGATTTTTCTATTTTATTTGTTCTCTTCAGATATTTTCTATAGGATTTCCTCCGCACAAATTTTAAGATTTTTTGTCATTCATTTTTTCATATTTTTATAAATTTATGAAAGAAAATTATTTAATTATTATGAAAAATAAAAATTAAATTAAAATTAAAATTATTTATTATTTATAAATTTATTTATAAATAAATATTTTATCTTATTTTCTTAATTTTTTTAAACAATAATTTATTTGTAAATAAATTTATTTATAAATTCATAAATTAAATAAATAATTAAATAAATTTATAAATTCATAAATTAAATAAATAATTAAATAAATTTATTTACAAATAAATAAATTAATTGAAAAAAATAATTTTTTCAATATTCTTTTCCCGTGAAGAAAATTAGCCAAAAACTAATGGAAAATTCAATAGAACTCCAACAGAATTCTCTAAAAATCTACCGAACTCACTAGGTTTTTCTATTAAATTTTTTCACCCGTCCGACGAAAATATATAAAAAAAAATTTCTACCACAGCTGAGCGCAACAGGAACAGCGATGACCAGTAAAATTCTCGCGATATGCATTTTAAACCCAAACAAGACACTATCCATTCATCTCGAATATCTCACCCATTTATACAAAACTTGGCTCTTCCTTGATTGCCATTAGATTACTTATCAATTCGACTTATCAATAACAATGCGTCGTGATTATTTTTATCGGATGCTCGATTGGATGAGAGTGCGCATTACCATTATAAATACTTTACCAATTAAATGTACATCGTCAATGATTACAAGAGTAAAATCAATTTTTTTCAACAACTTTATTATATTATTATTATTATTATAGAAAAAAAATACATGGTTTCTCTGTAACAGTAAGGAGAAGAGAAATGATATAGGTGTAATCAACAACAGAGAGCAAAAGGCACAAGTTGTAACGCAATGATTGATTGACATTTCAAAATCTTGGTTTCATCAATCGGCGATATGAGTGTGAGCAAAAAAAATAATGTGAATAATTTTGGAAGATACAAATTTCCCATTGATTTATACACAAAAACCCTATTCTTTCCTCCCACTATTAATATTTCCTTTGATTTTGTTTTTGACATTAGCCCCTTGGACTTGATATTTTACGTTAAAAATCCATTCACACTGAATAAAAGAGAAATAAACTTAAAATTAATCCACACGTACACACATGTTCACTAATTGTTAATAGAGGCACCATGATTCTGTTAGCGTCTACCTAATGTTTATTATTTTCGATCTTCCTTTTCCGCGATCCATTGATTATTATAATCCATCTACACCCCAAACAATTTAACAAATAATACATATACAACTGATGTATCTCCCTATATTTAATATTATTTACAAAAAAAATAAGATAATTGTTAGTTAACATTGAAGTCTCATTATCGACTAAATAAAAAAATATAGTAGACACTTAATAATTAATATTTGAGACTTTTTCAATAAATATTGTTGAGCTGCTCTTTGTTGGTTGTCAGTCAAGAGTTACTCTAATATAAAAAGGATTATATGATTTGTTTGATGCATTAGTGTAAAACAAATCACATGAAAGAATGGATATATCTCTATCCCAGTTATTTAAATTTATGTTACAAGGGAAAATTGTTCTAAGATTATTATCAAGTGATTATGAGATAGTTTTTTCAATACTTTTTATCAGGGAAATGAGTGTTCCAGTGGCAGGGGCGGAGTTATGGGTGGCAAATGATCTCCACACGTTGGGAAATTTGGTGGTATTGGTGGTAAATCGGCGTGTGTACCGACGTGTAGAATTAAATTCATACCAATCACTATGTGGAAGAGGAAGTGACAATGGAAAAGCCAATATCCTGTGAAATAACGGAGTAATAAATTTTTGTTAGCAATAATTTATGGAGAAAGTATTGTTTCATCGTGCACTGAGAGAAAAATGACAGTTATCAAACAAGTCTTACTTGTGCCGAGAAAATATTTTTTTGAAAATTATCAAAAAAGGATTTTTTTGTGCCAAACATGCAGAGAGTGCGCCGGAATGAAAAATTTTTGTCGCAAAAATAGATTTAGTAGTTGAAAAAAAATTGCATTCTCTGCAGACGCAAGAAATGTCATTTCTAGCACTACTCCTTCGTTATTCGATACTCCCCTACGTATTTTGCTCCCGAAAAATCTTTGTTATCCGCCTCTAGAGCCAAATATTTCGTTGCCATCGAAAGCAGAACAATTATTCATGTTTGAGACTTTCAAATTCGAACCAAATACATTTTTTTGGCAATTTTTAACTGGCGATTTTGTTGGCCCAAACAAGATTTGTTTGACAACGCGTTTGTTTTTCTCTCAGTGTGGATATAAAGTAGCGCAGTCAACTCACCGGGATTGTCCGCTCTAAATCTAAAAACTACGTAGCCGTTGTTAGGCACTGCTATTGTGTCCTTAGACGGTGGCAAATTGAATTCTCGGTGCAGTAAGCCGCGTCTGTCCAGATCCAGTGCGTGCTTCAAATTAATTTTCTTGACGTTTTTGTCGGGCGATCGACCCATTCCAATAACATTGAAGGCATATCCGTGCAGGTGGAATGGATGCGACAGATTTGGCTGTTGAACTGTTGTTTAAATGCCATTAGAGGTGGAAAATAGTGATTTAAGACGGAGATTGGCAGCAATCATTGATTTAGTGATATTATGACAAGTTGATTTACTTATCTTCATTGAAATTTGAAAAATAATATGCTAATTGGTAATTTGAATTTTTCAATTGACTATTTACTGAATAATTGACAATACGAAATTGTCAATTAACTATTGAGTAAATATTTCTCGATGTCATAGAAGTATTTTTCGATTAGCCAAATAATCGTCAATAAATAATTCGGAATTTGAATACTCGAATTGATGATTAATTTAACAATTGAAAAATTGTTTGAACAATTGAAAAATAATGATTCAAGGCGGAGACTGGCATCAATCATCAATTTAGTAATATTATGACAAGTCGATTTCCTTATCTTAATTGACTATTTACTGAATAATTGACAATACGAAATTGTCAATTAACTATTGAGTAAATATTTCTCAATGTCATAAAAGTATTTTTCGATTAGCCAAATTATCGGCAATAAATCATTCGGAATTTGCATCAATCACTAATTTAGTAATATTATGACAAGTTAATTTAGTTATCTTCATTGAAATGTGAAAAATAATATGCTAATTGGTAATTTGAATTTTTCAATTGACCATTTACTGAATAATTGACAATACGAAATTGTCAATTAACTATTGAGTAAATATTTCTCGATGTCATAGAAGTATTTTTCGATTAGCCAAATAATCGTCAATAAATAATTCGGAATTTGAATACTCGAATTGATGATTAATTTAACAATTGAAAAATAATGTTTCAAAGCGGAGATTGGCATCAATCATCAATTTAGTAATATTATGACAAGTCGATTTCCTTATCTTCATTGAAATTTGAAAAATAAAATTCTAATTAGTAATTTAAATTTTTCAATTGACTATTTACTGAAGAATTGACAATACGAAATAGCCAATTAACTATTGAGTAAATATTTCTCAATGTCATAAAAGTATTTTTCAATTAGCCAAATAATCGAAAATTGAATACTTGAATTGATAATTAATTTAACAATCAAAAAATTGGCGAGTAATATTGACAATTGACTAATTCAAAATTCAACTCGAATGAAAATTTATGATTATGCCTATATCTTCCTCACGGAATGACTAAAAAAATTGAAATACCTTCGTCAACGAGAACCACCTCGACAATTGCATTATGCGGAATATCAACTTTGTGGGTGCACATACAATTAGCTCCACAATCTGCTGGTCTATTATCCCCATTACAAAACTGCTCCGGCGGTATATCATCAATTTGCGATAGAGGTGGAGCCGGTGGGAATGTGAATGAAATCTCATCAACGAGGGATATTACATGATCACCCGTCGGTGCAACTGTATTATTCATTCACATTTAATTTTTTTGTGAAAAACGAGAGAAAATTATTAGCAACGATAAACATACGACAAAGCAGTAAACAATAACTCTTAAAACGTGTCTTTCCAATACCTAAGAACCGGTTGTACGTGTTAGGTTGAAAGACTTCTTCAGGTCGGTAGAAGAGGAACCTGAAGGGCAGGAAAATTTTAACATCCGGTCGTGCCTGAAGAATTCCCTCGTCTATGTGCCTGGCATTCTTCAATTGATTTATACAAACGGCATCTTCCCTCGGCATATTACAAATGGCGTCAAGTGGATTGAGTACCTGAGTGGACAGACCAGTGATGGAGAAAACGTAAGAGGAGCCATACTATTTCAATCGTTTTTTTTTCGATTTAAATAAGAATTGAATGTGATATAGAAGTGTTCCAAACAGGCCTTGTAATGTTATTTAAAAAAAAATTTTTGAAAGTTATGCGAAATCAAAATTTTTAGGTTGGACCAGGTAGTTAATTTAAGAAAAAAATATAACTCGATAAATATCGATTTTATCAAAGAAGTGCAAAAGAGCTTTTTTATTCAAAACATGTGTAAGTTCCTCTTGAGAAAGAATAAATCTAAAAAATGCAATTTCTCAGCCATTCGTGGCCATTTTTCAACGATTTCAATAGTAATATAGTAGTATAATCACTATTATTATATTAATATAATAATAATAATAATAATAATAATAATAATAACAGTAATAATATAATAATATATTATTTCTATATTATTATATTAATATAATGCTAGCGATATAATAATTATCAGCGATTTTAATAGTTATTAAAATTTATAAAAAATGAAAAATAATTTTTTTAATTTTGTATTTGTTATTAATTTAACAAACTATTAAAATCGGTGGAAACTGACAGCAAAAGGCAGAGAAGTTGAAGTTTTTTGGAAGAACTCCGAACGATTGAATAAATTAATAAAAAATAATAAATGTAAAATACTCACAACACCTTGCGGTAAACCAAGATCATACGTAGGCGGCTGTGAGGCGGGTTGATAGGGGCCTCGCGCATACCTGAGAATGGCCAGTTGCTGTGCCCTTTTGATACCACACTCTCCGAGACCCCGGAGCTGAATCCAATAGGCGCCCACCGGCTGATCGGCATTTATAACGAAATCGTAGCGTTCCCCGGAGAAGGAGATGACCGTATCAACGGCCACCGGTTGCACGGACTCACCGTCGGTGGCTATGAGATTCAGAGGGTGCCCTTGGAATGTTATTTGCGCTGGACACACTGATCCGAACGAATTGATCAGGCGGAAACGGTACCGACGACCTGGAGTTATTGTGAATACTTCCAGGGGGGTGTTGGTCATAAAGCCAGTATTGGGATCCTGCGATTAATTAATTAACACGGGTTAATTGACGAGGGCTAACCCCTCACGTACGGCGTCGATACCGTGCATTGACCCGTAAACTTGTCCCATCGGCCGGGGTCAACGCATGGTGTCGACCCTTTCTGTCAACAGTAAAAAATCATTTTCTCGAATTCTAAGAGACACATTGACATTTGGAAAAGATATCTGGAAAGTCAATGGAATTGTCTCTGCAGTGAACTATTTTATTTTATTTTTTTTCAATGACTTTATTTTTTTTTCTATGAACAAAAGTTGTGGATGAAAATTTGACATCCAACCGATTCAATCATTAAATCATCTCGTTTATCGACAAAATTTCCCCCGAAAATTTTGAAATTTTTACTGAAAATACTTCAATGATCCTTCTGTCGAATGGCGGAAGTTAAATTTCGATTTGTTGAATAATTTGTTTGTTATAAATAAATTTAGCATGTTCGAAGATCTCGGCAATCAATTGTCGGCAAACATTGAAATTCGTGTCGAAAATTAGGAAATTCTCTAGGAGTTTATTTCAAAGTTCAGTGCAGCCAATGCATTTTATTTCAATTTTTTTCGTTCGACTGTTTTCAAGTTATCGTTCATTGAATATAACGGAGTTGACGCGCCGTAAGTCTCCCGGCCGTTGGGTCAAGCCGCGTTATATGGGCGCGGTACGTGAGGGGTCAATTATCAGGGTCAATGGGGTTTACTCGTGCACTTACTCGGAATTGACCCTTTCCATTAATGAGAACAGTTTCCGGATCTTGTCCGGTGTTGACAGCAAGTCGTCCGGGATATCGTTCGGCTGCGTCCTCGTGCATCCAGTCGCTGATCATAACGACGTGGGTCGTGAGATCGTAGTCGTAGAGATTGCTGTTTGGGTCTTTATTCGGCGGCTGTCGTATTACAATACTTCCGTAGAGTCCGTCCATTTTTTGTAGTCCAGTGTGAGCGTGCCAGAAGTGAGTGCCAGCATTTGATGCTGTCCACTGATATCTAAGACATATTTGAGGGATGGAAATAACACGACACGCGTCAATGTTAATAAACAAATTCAACAGAATTATCCACACAGGAAAAAAGTTAATAGAGAACCTGGCGAATTCGCGAGAAAATTTTATTGGAATTCTACACGTTTTCTATAGGATTTTCTCTATTGAAAAATTTCGTTTGTTTTTTTGTGCTGATTTGATTGGACATTCAATAATAATAATAATAATAATAACAACAATAATAATAATAATAATAATAATAATAATAATATAACTTTAATTAAATTATAATTAGTTATTATTATTATTTTTTATTAAATTTTAATTTTAATAGAAAAAATTTTAATTTAAATTTAAAAAATAGAAAATTTAATTAATTTTATAAAAATAAAAAAAATTAAATCGGTAGTGTTGAGTCAGTAGTTTTACCTGAATGTATTTCCCTCTTGAATAGGGCACTGGGTAACATAAGGCACTCCATCATAATACTGCGATCCTCTCTGCCAAATACCGTGCCAATGGAGAGTGGCCTCCATCCCCTCCATGTGATTTTCAACATCAATAACGACTTTATCACCCTCGCACACTTGAATACTCGGTCCAGGAATCATTCGATTGGCAGTTAAAATTCCGCGCTCCACACCGTCCGCTAGTACGCATTGACAATGGCTCCAGACAGTGTTTGTTGTATTTGGGGTGCAGACTTGACAGGCCCTGAAAGCGTTCCATTCGAATAAAAATATACAAATAATTGAGCATGCATTATTTTTCTATTTTAATTTACATAATGATAATCCGATAGAATTTTTATTCTCCGATCCTCAATTTCTGTCAATTATTCCATTCATTCGTCAAATCATCTAATCATCAAAAATCATCTAATTGTGAATGACAGTCCCCTAATTGTGGAACCGCAAATGAAAATAAAATAAAATAAAATAGCCTAGGATAAATGAATTCAGCGACTTACGCTCCAAGAACAGTATAATATTCAAGAGTGAAATGGTAGTAACATATTCGCGGCGGTTCACCCTCTCTGCAGGCCCTGGCGCACTCATCAGGCGCTGATAATGCCGGATTTCTTCGGAGCTCAGCAGTCGCCCGCTCACTGTAATCGAGCGGTCGTGTTCTCGGTGGTCTAACGGTGATACCCAAACTGCCCAGATTGTCTATACCACCGAAACCACTTTGAAATGTACCACTCGTTGACGGATGCGTCTGCACAAGACTGTGGGCCGAGGAGAAAAAGCTCGATGTGTCGTCTTGACTGAAGACATTTCCGGTTTTAATCGCTGGACTCCAGAACGACGAGGCCGCTGTCTGGTCGGTGGCTGGCGATGCCTCTGTAAATTTCACATTAACCAGTCAATAACGGCAGCAACGGAATTCTACTTTACTATGTTTAGGCGCATGATAAAGGAGTTTGTGCAACCGAGCGGAAAAGAAAATGCCAACAAAGTACAAGTGGGTGCTGCATGAAAGTGTCTGTACGGTTTCTGTGACACGTAGGTCCGGGTGTTATAAAATAAACGTGAATATGTGGCGTAATAATGTATGATTGTGATCCTGCACACGAGATATGTCATTTGTAAAATCATATCGGTGAAAAATCTAACGGACTTGCTGCACGATTTTTTGTAAATAATAATTAACGTGATAGATATACACTGAGAGAAAAACGACAAAGTTCTCAAACAAGTCTCACTTGCGCCGAGAAAATAGTTCTTTGAAAATTATCAGAAAAGGATTTTTGGTGCCAAACCGGTAGAGAGTGCGCCGGAATGAAAAATTTTTGTCGAAAAAATAGATTTAGTAGTTGAAAAAAAATATCGCCTCTTGAGCCAAATATTTCGTTGCTGTTGAAAGCAGAGCAATTATTCATGTTTGAGACTTTCAAATTCAAACCAAACAAATTATTTTTTGGCAATTTTCAACTAGCGATTTTTTTGATCCAAACAAGACTTGTTTGACAGCATGTTTGTTTTTCTCTCAGTGTAGCGTAAGATATTGCGAAAATATTCTGTACTGCAGACTCTGAAAATGTCTATAAATCATAAAAAATAATAAAAGTCGATTTTAACTATTGATCAGTTTTCAATGAATACTTCGGAAACTAAAGGAGATAGCGAAATTTTCGTTATAACCTTTTTTGTAGAGCCGATTGAGAGCTACAACAAATGTCATTACGAAAATTTCGCTAGCTCCCTTAGAATCCGAGATATTCTTCAAAAACTCAACTGGGAGATGAGTCGACTTGAACCACTTCGCTGCTGATTCGAAAAATCGTACGTTAAAATGGAAAGGAATTGAGAAGAAAATAGCTCAAATCTAGTTCGTGAATCAGAATGACCTTTTTTGCAATTCATGATCTTTAACATCGAGTGATGAGACTCCCTGTTTCTTCCCAGAAGTCAGGAGAAGGCCTTTGGGTAGACAAAAGGTCAGGGGAGAGTTTAAATGATCATGGGAGAAGTTGAAAGTGTCCCTGTACATTTTTCATTTAAATAGAGACAATCGCGCTAAAACATTGAGGAAAGTCTATTCAACATCCAGAGGCTCATAAATATCGGCGCCAAAGGACTAAAAACAGAACGATGAAATGGCTGATTTAGATGAGTACGAGTTGTTGTGTTTGCATTGCATAATCACCATTTCAGTTATGCATTGCCAACACATGAAGATGATTAATCCAGTGCGAACTTGGCCTCAGCCTCTCGCGTTTCCCCATCTCGCCGTCCTCGCAAGAAAAATATGAATAAAATCGGCTCGTTCGGCCGATTGATCTGTCGATTACTCGAAGTGCTCGCAAATTGCGTCAGTGTAAATTGAAATCAGACACCTTGAACTTGACGCAAGGATTAGTATTATTATTCATGCATGAATACATCTTTTGCGGGACTCGTAGCGATGGGATAAGGCGATGGAACTGAAAGGTCAATGCGCTGTCTCATATTTCTCGACTAGTGAACGAAGTTTCCGTTTTTTTCTCTCATTTTCCTATTTACGTATTGGGGCAGTAGCTCATCGAGCGGAAAACAATCCTATTTCCTATTTACTGATGATGAAAGAAACGTGAAGTTGTTTTATATCGAAATGTGTCGAAACTTTCAAATTCTTCAAATGGCAAAATTTTTTTCTGCCTCATATTTGTCATTTTTTCATGTGTAAAGTTTATCTTTATATCAAAACATATCGAAATTGCCCAATTGTTGATCATGAGAAACAAAACAGTATTTCTAAATTTTTTTAACGCTCAAATTATTCTTCGCTTCCCAAATTTTAATTTTTTCATATTTATCATACGCAAAAATAATCAATTCTTGTCTCTCAGATTTTCATACATAAACTCTAAACACTACAAAATTCATGAAAATTCTTTGAAGATCTACGGTTATCTGGAAATTTTTTCAGTTTTCCAGGAAATCAATTCACAATCCTCCCCTCATTTTTCAACAATAACAGATTTTAATGAGATTATTTTAAAAAGTAAAAAAAAGAATTAATCGAAGATTAAGAATTATTCACTGATGTTTCACTCTTCATTCTCTTAGTTCTCTCCCAGTCATTATCAATATTTATAAAACATCTGCGTACATGAAGTTTAATAAATTCGATTTCTTCATTTTCGCAAGGAATAGATAAGCGCGCGCACAGGTCTAGTACATATTAGGTGAAATTTGATCAATTCGCAAATGTGAACGCAGTCACGACTGCTTTGCTTTTGTAATTTATCGTCACTCGGGCAGTCATCATCGTATTACGGCGCATTGCGAGTCCACGGGTAATATCAATTATTTCAGCTACTGACGACTTCAACCGTTTACGTGTGTCTTGAACGTATACTAGACGAAACCCAATATATGCATTTTATTGTGATGACCTATTCCTTTGGGGGGCCTTACGGTCAGACTGCCCAAAGGCCGACAGGTGAGAAAGTAAAAACCGAGTGAAATATTGCGAATACCCCTATTGTAAGGTAAAAGGTAATATTATATTCTGAAATTTTTTTTCTTTTACTCCACATGAAACGACTTTGCAATCGTACAAATTTCAATTTCGTCGTTTCAAATTTAATTATTATTTTTATTGTAAAAAACTAGTGAAATTATGTCTTTTAATAAAAGAATGTTACGTTTTTTGTCAGCAATTTATATTGCTGGGCTTGATTTGGAATTATTTCCATCCTAGACTTGAATATGATATAATATAATATGATATAATATGATATGATATAATATGATATAATATAATATAATATAATATAATATAATATAATATAATATAATATAATATAATATAATATAATATAAGCAAAAATTGTAAGTTTCAAAAAAATATGAAAATATGAAATATATTATGAATGAATAATATTTCCCCCGTATGACGAAAAAATACATTATAATAACAGCAATTTTCAATTCATAATTTTTTGACTTGACCTAACGCTGATGCGCATTCCCGACTACTTGATTAGAATTTTATCAACCAGTTTCCTCATGTTTCCGAGGGTTGTAGATGCATCTATAGCCGTGGGCGCCAAACGATGCAGAAAGCGTGACACGGATTCACGAGTATCTGCAAAGCATTCACTGAGTAGTTGAACTGTTGTTCACACTGTTAAGTCGGAAGTGGCTAGTGTGCCGTCCTTCATTCTTAAACTGCTCAAGTTTACCCAGTAATTAATTTTATATTCCCTTGTGTCGGGGTTATCGGAGCATCTAGTCCATCGGGGTTTGGTTTTTATTATTTTTTCATCAACGCAAAATGACAAAAAGAGCATGAACGGCTTTTAGGGATAAAAATGGATGATAGGCCGGGGAATAAGTGGGTCAGTGAGGTATTTTGGAATGCACGAAGAAATACAAGTCGGCCTCGGTTCGATGTACCTAGTTTGAAACTCGTTTTGCCCGCTGATTTTATAGTATCAAGGGTACACACGTTGGTCATTCCCCTGGAGACTTTTGGCGGCGTCAGGTGGGCACGGGGCCAAGTTCGAGGCCCATTTCATCCGATGCATACATTACCGTATTACGTCAACGATAGCGGGCCCCAGTGGAACGATCGATTGCCGAATTTCCGAAATGCCAATTTTCCTTCAATAAAAACTCCAGCACAACGTTTTTTGAAGCCAATCTATTCGGCGTATTGTGTCATTAGATTTTTTATAAATGATAGTATTTTAACCCCTGACGTATGGCGTCGATACCATGCATCGACCCATAAAATTGACCCATCGGCCGGGGCGCATGGTCTCGACCCTTTCCGTCAACAGTAAAAAATTATTTTCTCGAATTCTAAGAGACACATTGACATTTGGAAAAGATATTTGGAAAGTCAATGGAATTGTCTCTGCAGTGAACTATTTTATTAGATTTTTTTTCAATGCATTTATATATTTTTTTCTGTGAACAAAAGTTGTAGATGAAAATTTGACATCCAACCGATTCAATCGTATTAAATCATCTCGTTTATCGACAAAATTTCCCCCGAAAATTTTGAAATTTTTACTGAAAATACTTCAATGATCCTTCTGTCGAATGGCAGAAGTTAAATTTCGATTTGTTGAATAATTTGTTTGTTATAAATAAATTTAGCATGTTCGAAGATCTCGGCAATCAATTGTCGGCAAACATTGAAATTCGTGTCGAAAATTAGGAAATCGGTTATTCAATCGTATTAAATCATCTCGTTTGTCGACAAAATTTCCCCCAAAAATTTTCGCAAGGGTCACACGGGTCAAAGTGTCAGATCTTGGATTTTTTGCCAAAATCGAATTTTTTTCCGGGTGAACGTTGATTCCAACTATTTAAGCGCCGGGCTAGTCAGAACTGTCAAAAGTATGTGGAAAAAGTGAAAACTGAGAAACCGTTTTTTTTGGCCCCAGCCAAAGGGTCAGATTTTCGGGTTTTCCGGGGCAAGTGGATTTTCGCCAAAATCGAATTTTTTAGCCGGGTGAACGTTGATTCCAACTATTTAAGCGACGGGCTATTCAGAACTATCAAAAGTATGTGGAAAAAGTGAAAAATGAAAAAAAAAATTTTTCACTTTTCAAAATTTTTTCATTTTTCAATGAAAAAAAAAATCAGCATCGAAATTAGCATTTAAATGATGTTCACCGTCGACGAGTTGCGTGCCGCGCGCCAGGGGAAATAGTACGAGTGTGGCACGCCAAGCGGTGCAGTCGAATGTTAATATTATTAATAGTATATAATACCTCATTTGTTTCGTTTTTCAATTTTAAATTCAATTAATTTTCCAACTTTAATTATTTTTTCATTCAGATCTATCGATCTACCAGACTTGATCATGTGATTAAATGCAAATGACGATGTATACATGATTGCGTGTTTTTTTTAGTGCTGCAAAGAAACCGTGCAAAGTTTTAATGTTTTCATGAGCATCGGAAGAAGAAAGCTGACCTGGTGGTTTAGTTCGTACGTGTGTTGCGATAAAAAAAAAGAGAGAGAAGAGGGAAATAGAATAGACGACTCAAGGAGCACTTGCGTATCTATGACGATAATGTAATTTCCCTCGTCCTGTATATTTTGTTTCTATTTGAATTGTCACGTTTTTCGAAATATCTTTCTGCGCACAGAGTTGTAAACTCATTGACCTTTTTCCGAGTACACTTATCCTGCTAAAAGTGAATAATGTACTTTTTTTTCTAGACGTGGAAATAAATGGGAACGTGCAAGCAGGTGAAAATATGCGTTTTCTCTCCTGACTTTTCTTGAAAGAAAACTACTTGCAATTTGGCACAGGCAATGTATCAGCGGGTGTGCATGCATTTGTAATATTGAGAGGAAAAAGGGAAAATTATTTTTCGTTAGTGTAAAATAAATTACGAAAACGTGACTGAAATTGAAAAATTTCTCGCGAATTAAGGGGAGACTACTGGGAGTTTGAAATCACATTATATTAATCCGATCAAATTTTTCATCTCCGATTTTTATTCTTTGCTATTTTTTTCATGTATTCTATCAAAATGTGAGGATTGAAATTGAATTGATGGGTATTGTTTGATTATTTGAAAAAATATGTCAATTTTAAAACTTTTCGGAGACATAGAAAATCGAAATTTTCATTTTCTTGCGAATCGATCATCATCCCAACAAAAAGTATCAATACTCTCCTTATTATTTATCATAAATATCTCTTCATTTGAAAATGAGAAAAACTGTTCCCACAATTTGTATACTTCAATGGGAATAGAATCTAATAAATTTAATTTAATCTAATCGCAAAGAAAAATTGGAAGAAAAGGGGCGCGAAGCGCCCCTTCGCTAGTAATTAAATAATTGAATGAATAATCAGGGCAAAAAAAATGATTGTTTATTGTTCTTTTGTCCCTCAGACGCTTAAAATATTAAAAATCGTCCAGGACCTCCAATTTTTGAGCTACAGAGGATTTTTTTTTCTCAAAATTTTTGAAAAAATGTGTACAACACCATTTTTAAAGTGTGCGGGGTCAACGAGCAACAAACAATTAATTTTTTGCACTAATTCATTAGCGAAGTGGTAAAACGGTTCAAGTCGACTTAGACTATCGGTCAGTTTTCAATAAATATCTCGGAATCTAAGGCAAATGGCGAAATTTACGTAATAACCTTTTTTGTAGCTCGTAATTCGCTCTACAAAAAACGTTCCCATGAAAATTTCGATATCTCCCTTAGATTCTGAGATATTCTTCGAAAACTCAGCTAAGCTCCCGAATTATTCGTTTTAACA